ATATATATATATTTTTTTTTTTTTTTTTTTTTTTTCTATATTATTTTATATTCCTACTATAAATTTGTTTTTCGATACAAAAATGTTTACCCAAGTGATTTTTTCATTGCATTGCTCTTCGAAGCCGTATATTATCTGAGTTAAAGGAAAGATGACGATCAAATAATTGGCATACATTTTTTTCCCATTACTCGAACCTTTTGTAATCCTTCTTAGAGATGATCTTAGATGATCGTAAATTAAGCTCGAAGAATTTCTACTTATAAAGACTTTACTAAAATAATATTGTCTATCATTCTTATATTATCTTCCACAAGTCCACGCTTCAACTTCCTCCTAGGGTATTTAAGAGTTCGCCCATATTTAGTTTAACACTTGGCTTTTCTGCAAATGCGCAACCCTCTGACTGAAGTCAGCTGCCAGCTGAATGCTGTCTTTTTGTTTGCCACTCATTGTGAACGCTAATCGCCAGCTTAACTGGTCTGTCCGGCCGTCCGTCAGGGACAGTGCGAAGCTATTTAATTTATTATATTTTGCATTGTTTTCGCTGGCATTTGTGGAAAGTGTGAAGTGCACTTAGTGCTTGCTTTGTGAGTCTGTGTGTGTGGGTGTGTGTGGCCGCATTGTGATTTTAATTATGCTCTAGCACTGACTAAGTGCCCGACTAAGAGCTGTCTAAATGGCAGCGCAGTGCAGAGCGCAGAGCAGCTTGAATAAAGTTAACAACAATTTTTAATGGGCTTACGAAAGGCACTAATAGCAGAAGTCTTGAAAAGCTTTTAGAAATGTTTTACCTACCGCACATATATACATATATAACTGAAACTAAGTCTAAGTAGGCGTCTTAGAGATTGCAAGTAGTTTACGACTCCTGCTCAAAGGAGAGACTTTACTCCACTTAATGAAAATTAAAAAAATATATATATACAAGAATCTCACATAAAAGACAATAAATACAAAGTATTTTTAAAAATTTTATTATGTGTATGTAAAAAATTATAATTTAAAAAAATAATAATTTGCACATAAGAAATAAATTTAAAAAATAATATAAATAAATATAAATATAAATATAAATATAAATAAATAAGAATTTTTATATAATAATTTTTTTTTATATTTTATATAAATATAACAAATAAAATAACAATATATAATAAATAAATTTTATATAAAACATATAATTAAAAAATTATTTAATATAATATAATCAAAAAATAAAATATAATAAATATCTTATATATGAAATAATTCAATTATTAATTGCAATATTATATATTACAATATTAAAATGTACAAGCAAATAGTTTTATGTATGTATAAATACAAAATATATTTTATATAAAATATTTATTCGATTTATATTCATATTATATTATATATTCATTCAATTTAGTACAGTCTCCCCTTTGAGCAGAAGGCGTAAACAAATTCAAATAAAATTTTTTGATAAATAAACTCGATGGAATTGCAGCGAAGGGCTAAGTGCGTCATTTCTTATCATTTGTCTTGAAGATATGGCTGACATATCAATTACAGCATAAAATATGGCCAAATGCTTCCACACTCTAATCAATAATATTTATGTGGAAAATTTCCTTTTTTACGCTGGAAAATAATTTTAGAGCTTGGCGACAGAATGGAATGCGAGGCACATTGGCCGGAGCCGGAGCCGGAGCCGGAGCCTGAGCCGGATGTGCGAGTCGAGTGGCAACAACAAAATGGCGGCGTAAATTTAAAAATAACAAAGTGTAAATCATATGCCCGGGTGGATAGCTGCGTGCGTGGGTAATCGGAGTCGAGCCAAAGGCCCACTCGAGCGCCGCGAGTCGAGCTGAGTCGGCAAGGACCGCAAAACAGATGCTAATTAATGGCAGCACAGGGGCAACTCAGAAAAACTGTGCCTGTGTGTGTGTACGGGTGTGTGTGGGGGGTGGTTGCTGCTGCGAATGTGCCGTTAATTGCCGACAAAAGCGTCAAAATTGCGGTTCATTGCGTGCACACAACGAGAGAGAGAGAGAGAGACAGAGAGTGGGAGAGAAGGCGAAATGTGAGGAGAAGACTGAGGATGGTTTCACTAATTCATTGATTACGCTCACACGTCGCTTACCTGCAGCCAGTTGTGCGACAGCTTGAGCGTGCGCACGGATTGGGCCAGGGCGGCGGGCACTTGGCAGAGGCCCGTGCCGCTGGCGTCCAGCTCCTTGAGGCTCCAGGACGCGACAAACTCCTGCATGGCGGCGCCCACCTGCGGATTGTGGGCAATCGATAGGCTAACCAGATCGGGTATGCCCTGGAGAGCGCGTATCGCCGAGCCGCTCAGCCGATTGTGCGATAGATCCAGATGCTGCAGATTGGGCAGCGCCAGGAAGGTTTCGTAGTCGATGTCCGTGATGTTGTTCCAGCTGAGCAGCAGCGTCTCGAGACCCATTAGATTGTAGAATGCCTGGCGTTGGATGGCGCCGTCGAGCTGATTGTGCGCCAGATTCAGTTGCTTCAGCTGCGGCATGCGCTGCTCGAAGAAGCTGCCCGAGAGCCGGCTCAGCCTGTTCCCCGAGAGATCCAGTGTGACCAGCGTCGCGCTGAGCGCGGGCAGCGCCGTCAGCGAATTGTTGCAGGCGTGCAGCTGCTGCAGCCGCGTGAAGTTCTGCAGCTGCAGGCTGCTCAGCCGATTGTGACTGAGATCGAGGCGATGCACTAGCTCGAACTGGCCCTGAAAGTTCTGCTGGCTGTCGTAGACGCTGAGCCCTTGGCGCGTCAGATTCAGCAGCGCAGCGCCTGCCGCTTCGCGTTTCTCGCGCGGCTGCGTCTCGCGCTTGTGCTGGTAGCGCAGCTCGGCCTTATAGTGGGCCGGGGCGTGCTCATCGCGCAGCATGCGGCGCACGCCCTGAAAGCTGAGATGCTGCGCCAGCGACAGCTTGCGCTCCTCCTGCTCGGCGGCAGCATTCGTCAAGGATAATGCCTGGGCGCTGCACAGCAGCAGGGCCAAGCAGAGCCACAGCCCGAGCAGCATCTTTCCGGGTGGGCTGTGAGTGTGGGCGTGGCTGTGTGCTTAGAAGGCCGTCTCGTTTATTTGGCACTAGTTTGCCTTTTTGTTTTTTATGCTCGTTTTCCAGTTGTCTCCCCCTCTCTCCCTCTCTCTCTTTCTCTCCCTGTGAGGGTCGTCCTTTAATTTCACTTGAAATTTATGCGCTGTACGTGCGAACGTTTAGCGCCGCGTCTGAAATTTGTCGAATATGGGCAACGTTCTGGACGTTTCATTCATTTGCCTGCCATTTATTTATACATTCATGCACTCACGTACAGCAGGGCGCCTATTTCTGGGCCTTCTTGTACGTCCCTTGGCTTGTTTGTCACGTGCTGGACCATGTGACAACTGTCAACGGTTTGACAGCTTTGCCGTACGCATGGACTTCCGGTGCGGCGCCACGGCCATTGTTACAGGGCGACAGCGGCAGGACTCCAAAGAGGAAAGTGAAAAAAGCGTTGCCTACTTTTCAGCGTGGACTGCTAAATATGCTGAATTTTTAATTAAATATCCACTTGGCCATCAGCTTTTTCAATTGTTACGTTTTGCTCTCGCTCTCCCCTTTCGTATGCCCTTTTACACCTGCTTCACCTCGGTCTTTCTTTTATATATATATTTTTTTTTTTGGCTAATTGCTGCACAAAACGCTGCTTAACTTCAACAAATGTCAATTAAAAATCGCGCATCGCTTCCCTAGCTTTTGTTGCTGTTATTATTGTTGCTGTTGTTGTTGTTGTTGTTGCAGTTGTCTGTTGTCGCATTACAACGTTGATTGTTCCCCTGGCAGCGTCGCGTGCTTAAAATCTGTAATGAAACAAGCAACAAGCAAAAAAAAGAAAATAATTGTAATTACGTTTGTTATTGCAATTGTCATTGTTGTACGTGTTGTTGTTGTTGTTGTGTGTGTGTTGCTGCTTGAATGCAAAGTGCGAAGCGAACAAAAAAGCAACAGAGGTAAAAAAAGGCAAACTTCTTTATAATTTGCTGAGCATTCGCTTTGTGTCTGCACTTGATTTTGCATTTGTTTGCCCAGTGAAGAGCATAGCAGAGGGTATATTGAATATTTAGTGAAGGATGTAACACTGATAGATAACCGTCAGATATATTTATATAAATATATAAATAGAAAATCCTCTATATAAATCAATATTTAATATATATCCCTTTCCAATCGTCCTTCTGCTATTTCTGTGCTCTAATTTTCTTTCTTCGAGTTTCATTATTTTGTTTTCTCTCTCTACTCTTTATTGCTTTCTTGTTTCTTCTTCTATTCTACTCTGTCCTTCCCCTCTTCCCTTATTTCATTTTTAAAATAAGGGTATTCCATCTTTGATAACTCGCCTGCCACACATTCTCACTTTCTCGTTTGCTCATACCTTTTCTGCTGTTTGTTGCTGTTTTTCCTGCCTGTTTCTTTTTAATTTGTGCTCGAGCTTTACGACTTGAAAGCGCTTTGGCACTTTGGCTTAAGTGTTATTTTTATGTTGATTGCAGCTAATGAAATTATAATTTCAACACGCTTAACAGCCGGCCATAATTTGGCCTGGCTGTGCGCGGAGGGGTTGCAGCGGCAATTTCAGCCGGGTCGTGAGCCCCCTTGCCACATGAGGCACCTTTTCTGACCGCGTGTCAGCCACATGCCCAGGCATATGTGCGTGTGTAGATGTGTTTGTGTGTGTGTGTGTGCTATAAATCATTTAACTGGGTCATTTCATTTCCGTTGCAGACGAGCGACAGGAAATCCACTGCATAACCAGCAACTGTCAACAGACAAACCCTCCGGGCCGAAAGCGACGCAAATTTGATTTACTCCTTGTCGTCGTAATGATGCCCCAGAATGTACGTCTAGATCCCTTCTCCCTCCTTCTTCTTTTTTTTTTTTTTTTTTTTTTTTTTTGCTGCTGTTAGGACAATCTGCCCAAAAATTAATTTGTCAATGTCTACTTAAAGTCAAAATTGCCAATTCACTGCGCTACCCAAAATGGCAGTTTGGGGCCGTAATATGCGAATTGTCGCTCATATGTACATGTGTACGGGCATATGGAAGTTCCTTAATCCACAAATTGCTCATAGATGTGAGAGACTGCGTTTGGGTGTAGATGATGGAGTGTGAGCTTCAGAGATGTTTGTTTAGTTACGATAAAACTGTAGATGTGTGTGTGTGTGTGTGTGTGTATGTTTGTACTTCTTGATCGCAAAAATTATATTAATTTTTATTGTCTTTTATCTTGTATATCTATCCTTAGCTATTTCTTGATCTGATCATTGCATTAGATGCATTAGATATTTAGTATATGATAGCTAGTAGACATTATATCTACTGGCATAATCAAGTTGATCAGACTATATCTTTAGTAGTAATAAATTACATTAATGTGCATACGAAATAGTTAAGAACTTGATTTATGGTCAGGTTTAAGCTTTAGATGTAAATCAAATTTATTTCCCAGTCTGCTTTTCAGCTTATGAAGCATGATATTATTTCAGCCTAAGCACTTCTATTTAAATGGGCATATGCTTCTTTATGTAGAATAGTTAATTCCCTAAATGTTGATGTTTCTGCTACAAGCAATACACACGCACACACAAATGCACCCTCACACACACACACACACACACACTTGCACCCACCCAAGTGTGTCTACAAATTTATAGGCATCACATGAAATTTATTGACAAATGCCATCAAGGAGCTGGCATTTCATTTCACTTGTCGTTTGCTTACGCCACAGCAGAAATATAGGCCATAAGTTTAGCGACAAACTTGAAAAAAAAAAAAAAAATAGAAAAAAAACGAAAACACCCCACAGAGAGCGGCCCCCCCTTTTAACGCCAGACAGAGAGACAGATGGACAGCCAGACAGATAGATGATGTACACAAGTCAGTTGACATGAGATTCGATTTAAAAAAAATAAATAGAAGTGTAGAAGTAGAAGAAGAAGCAGCAGCAGCAGCAAACCAACAACAAATATGTAACAGCAATATCAGCAGCAGCTAAAACAACATGGCCAAGGACGGCTGACAGTCTGCCCCTGCTGCTGCCCTGCACACACCCTGCCCCAGTCGAAGTCCCGCTGGAGTCAACAGTCAGGGGACGCTGCTTGTTTTTGGTTTTTTATTTATTTATATTTTCTTGGGGTTTTTTTTTTTTGCCGGCTGTTTGCTGCGGTTGTCAGTTTATTTAATGCCAGCTTGAAAATAATTTGCGAATCGCTATGCCATCTATACGTAGATAATATATTATGCTCTTGTCTCGTCTGTCTTTTATGATTGAGCATTAGCATGCTGGCCCCTGCCTGAAGGAAATACGAATATTTATGCGCTAAGCAGCTCGCATTTGGCCTTCAGCTTGCCTTAGCTTTCAGCCAGTTAATCAAATGCACAGCACAAAAGGCAAACAAATGGCTGCTGATGCAGCACATTTAAAGTGCAGCCCTTTGTGCCATGGCACGGGAAAGGAGCCTTTGGATTAGATAAGATGCTGCCTAGCTCACGCTTTCTCTCCCTCTCTTTCTCTCTCTATCTGTTCAAGTATATATTATAAATTGTTGCTTTAATAAAAATCCAGGACACTGAAATTGGATTCTGCAGGCAGCATGCAGCTGCCATACGTCAACGATTTATTTTATAGAAATTTAGCCGAGTCCCAGCCGAGTCGAGCAGCAGCAGCAGCACCCAGCATGCGTCGTGGTACGTGGCTGCAACACGGCTTTATCAGTTGGCTCAGCTACTGCAGCAGAATGCAAATGGCATTTGATGGCAAGGACAACGCTGTCGCTCGATGCATTGCTCATCGAGTGCCTCCTGGCTGTCTGCTGCTTGCGATACTTTTCCACACAGTTTCCTGCTGCAGTTGCTCGCTCAATTGCACAACAAAATACAAAATTGTATCTTTGCCCCCGTCTGGTCCATACATAATGGAGTGTTTCGTATCTTCCTATAAGGGGTGTATGAGTGTGTGTGTGTGTTTGTGTGTGCATTGTATGTATTTGCATTTCATGTAAAAATGTAGTGACTGCTGGATTCTTACTCAGTTAGTTTACACACAGTGTGACCACCTTTGCGTTCATTGTAATGCGCATTTGAATACCCTGTGATATCTGCATGTAGAGCGGGTATATTGAAGGTGTTAAGACAAGGCAGAAATAGAAAATCATGCAAAATATATTTGTTTGTACATTTGCTATAGTTTTCATCATTTCTATCTACTTCTCTTTGTGCCCATATACAATATAGTCTTACTTGACCTCATTGATCTCAGGAACTGTAACAGCTAGGTATCTGACACTTGGTATATAAGCAGCTGACATGTCCTTAAACGATCGTAACAAATATTGTTTGCATATGACCATAAACTTCTGAGTTAAGAGAAAATCGTAGTTTAAGTTATGTGACAATAAGTCTATATGGGATAACATAAATCATTTACAAATCACATTTCATATCTGATTAAGTATTTACTCTCTAAACGCCTCACATCCTAGCTCTTATTGTCTAATTCTACTCAAATTTCTCACCATCTCATCTCTCATCTCTCTATCTGCATTTAGAGCTACTTAATTGCCTTGTAGTGAGTATCTATGACTCTTTCAGTCCCCTTTCCTGCCAGCTTATTTGTCATGCATGAGCTTGCTTCTTCTTGCTCTTCTTTTTTTTTCCATTCCACCGTTTCTTTTACCCTGAGCTGCTGTTTTAATAAACTTCCGCTTTGTGAAAGTTTTATGCTGTCTGCCGCCCGTTGCTTCTGACATGCATTCAATGCCAGCAACTTCATTGGATCTCTACTGCAGCTGTGCAGCTGTAGCCCACGTCCTGCATGCCGCGTCCCGCGTCCTGCACGCCTGCAGCTGGCTGCATCTGTGTCAATGTCAACATTGGCAGGACGTGCGAGTTTGTCACTTTCAGTTGAGCTCGTGGCTCTTAAACTGCCAGTGAAATCTTTAAGCAAAGTGTCCAACACTTTGCAAACAATTTGCCAGCCTTTACGATTTTTCCCTCTCTTTTGGAATTTTTTCTCGCACAGCCATCAATGGGCGCTATTTTTGTCTGGCATTTTTTGCCTTTGCAGTGCGCATAAAAGTTTTTAAATTAAACTTTTTTTTGGGGCGAAATGTTTGTCAATTGGACGGCGACACATATGCGGGTGTGAGTGTGTGTGTGGAATTTTTTACTTAAATTATATATATCGCATATAGAAAGGGACCTAGAAGAAACAAAGGATATTTCACCATGAAGTTTATATGACTCTCTAGCAGGAATTCAACTAGTTTTATATATAGATATACTTTTTAGAGCAAATGGGAGCATAATAAAGTTAAATGTAAGCCAAATCCTTATCGTTCATCAAGCTATAAAAGCTAAGGCTTTAATTATCTAGCGCCCTAAGGCTGCCATTAAAAATACTTTTTGATAATAACAATAATAATAATAATGTGATATATATCTGCCTGTACGATGAGAAACGACTCTGGCTTAATTCACATATTTCACAAGTTGCGCCAATTTGCCATGGAGCGTAGCAGGAAACGTTTTTGGGAACTTTTACTTATGACTTATATGCTGGCAACTTGAGGTCGCCGTCGCCGTTGCCGTTGCCGTCGCCCAGTTGTTGTCTTTATTAATGCCCTGTGGCTAAACGCGCTGCCAGCCAACCACCAAACCCGAAGCCGAAGCAAAAACACATAAGTAAAATTCGTAATAAACTTGTGCTGCTCCTGCTGCCTCCTGCTCAAGCTGCTTCTTGGGCCCTCACTCTCTCTCTCTCTCTCTCCCTATGTGTGTGTGTTGGGATTTTATTGTTTTA